TAGCTAAGTTCAGTCCAGCCAGTTCTTCCCATTCTGCAGAGAAAAGTGAAGAATTAACTCAGCAAGTACCTGATAGTGTGAGGGCTAAAAGCCATGCTACCTTCTAGTGTCAAGCTGTCCAGGTGGCATTCAGAAACCTGGCAGGTTTCTGAAGATCTGAAAACTGGCGCGCGCATGTGTGTGTGATGCACGTGCGCACTTGCACAGCTTGAGAGACTGGGCACTGTCCCTGAACTTTTTTGCTCAAAGCTAGCACTTTACCACTTGAGCCACAGTTGGAGATAGAGTCCCACAGACTTCCTTGCCTGGACTGGCTTTGGAACCACCATCCTCCTTAGATCTCAGTCTCCTGAGTAGCTAGGATTACGGGCTTTACCTCTCCTCCCCACCCCCAGTAGTCGCAGCCTTGGCCCTGAGTTCAGATGACCTGTGGTCACGTCCCCAGCACCCCCATCAGCGCACTGCACGCTGTCTTGGGAAGGAGCTGGGGTGCTGTCCCCTCTCCAGTTGCTTGCCCAGCGCGCCCCGCCCCCTTCCTCCTTCCTCTCTGGTAGGCTCTGGGCATCCATCAGCCTGTTAATTGCACTAATTAGAGATCGCGGAGGTGTTAATTGGAAAACCCTGGTATTGTGCCTGTTTGAGGAAGAAAACGTCAATAAAAATTAATTGATGAGTTGGCAGGGCGGGCTGCACGGGTTCGCCGCGAGGAGAAGGGTGTCGAGGCAAATGTTACAACTCAGATTAAGCGATTGTTAATTAAAAAGCTATGGTAATTAATACTCCCAACGCCATATGGGTCCGCGAAAAGGCATGGAAGGTTTCCCCACATGGGGGGCCCCCAGACTCCCTCCCCCCTCCCAAAGCACCCTAGGCCTTGGGTCACCCTTTGGCCCCAAAGTAATGGGGTTTGTCACTTCCGGACGGGGCGGACCCCTGTGAGATCCCAGAAGGTGTCACACAGCTTTGGGGCCACCTGGGCCCTTCTGAGAGGCAGGAGCCTCAGGGGGATCCCCCGAGGGCGCCAGAGTCTCCCCCCCACCCCCACCCCGGAAGAGGCAACTGTGGCTTCTAACCCAGCTTCCTTCCGACAGCACGTGCTGTCAGCGCAGGGCCTGGCCGGGCTCCCTTCGTGCCTTGGCTCCCTCCCCCACGGGAGACCCCACAGAAACCATGCACCACCCCACTCAACAGGCTGTGGTGAGAGTAGCAGCCCCAGCTTCAGGGTCCTGGAAAGACCTCTGGCGTCCCATCCGTGAAAGCAGCCCAGAGCCTTGGGAAAGGGGCGGTGACCTGCCCAAGGCCGTGCAGTTGGGTTTTGGAAACAGGTGGGCTCATCGCTGAGCTCCTGCCCCTGTGCCGAGGGGGGGCCCTGGGGCTCCTTGGAAAGGAAGGGGGTGATGGCGGAAGAAGCGAGGTTCAGGAGGGTAGGGAATGTGTGGAGAAGACTGAAAGATGGCTGCCTGCCCCCCCCCCTTTACAGGGCTCATCTCTTCATTGGAGCCCATTGGGAGAAGAGATTGTATTCATGACTCCAGGGGCTCCTTGCTGGACTAGGAAGTTTTGCCCCAGCAGCTCCCAAGTCAGAAGAGACCTTCAAACAACCTTTCTGAGCAGAGAAGGGAAACTAAGGCTCAAGAGACCCCGGAAGGCAAAGATTTACAGTTAATTGTGGCTGAGCCTAGGCCCTGGCCTTTATCCTAACAGTCAGGCTCCCACCCCCCATCTGCCACGAAGTTACAGGGTACTGACACCCAAGCCTCCCCAACCCCCACATACACACTCCACCCACCCCTGCAGTTCCTAGCTGGCCAAGGGGGGGCCTCAGGCACTAGCACCCCGTCTCACGCAGTGTGGGGAAACACCCAGTGCTGTTGGAACACCCTGTAGAGCGGTGGTGGGAGGCTGAGGCTGGCAGTGTGCTTGGCTCCCAGCACTGAGGATGCAGAGTGCCTGCCATACAAGTTTGAGGGGAGGGTGTTGGTGGGTGGGCAGGAGTATGGAAGGAAGTATCTGGGTGTGTGTCAGTGGGGCGAAGGCCCCGCCCCGGGAAAGGGCAGAGCATGCCACACAGGAATTAATGCCATTCATACACCCTGCGGAAATGACTTTTCAAAATGCATATAATCTCAAGCATGCAAATGAGAGGCTTGCTTCACCCTGTTTAATATGAATGATCAGCCCTTGAATAGCTATTATTACACGCCACATTGCAGCAATTATGTTGTTCTCTGGGTGTCTCTCTATGCCGCCCCCCCCCCCAAAAGACAGGAAAGAAAAAGACACCTCTATTTGCATCTTCCTGGCCTTTATTCTCCCTTTTTCAAACTTGCTGTCTGATCTAAACTTTCTGGTGTCCCTGTGAATGTTAGAAGGAACCAGTCAGTCTCCTTTACCCCAGGGAAATCACTGCAGGGATTCTCCGGGGGGCTTTCTCCAGTGTGTGCTCACACCCCTGAGGCTCTGGGCTTTGTCCCCTGGGGCCCAGGACTTTCAGATCTCTGAGCAGCTAGACTGGGCTTCAGTGCTGGCAGCTGCTCTCCCACCCCCACTGGGGCCGGGATTGGGGAAAAGGGAGATCCTTGTGGGCCCCTGCTGCCTTCCCATCCCCCTCTCCCCTGTAGCTGGGGCTCAGGCCTGAGTGGGGAAGTCACTCCTGCAGGCTCCAGGGTGGGTGGTTGCAGGGAAGGGGGTTGGAACCCTGTGCTGTGGTGGGTGGAGGATGGTGCCCACCCCATCCATCATTTGGCAGCCACTAGCCCTGGGGCTGACATGGCCATTAAGGCCTAAGACCAAGTACTCAATCTCTTCCGAACCGTCACCCCCATCCTGGCCCAACTCAGAACTCCTGGGAACAGCAGCTGAGGGAACCCACAGGGAGAACTGCAGGGGTACTGGGACCCCCAGCAGGCCATGCAGACCCACCGGGAAGGGACATCAGAGGGACGGGAGCAGCGGTGTGGCTCCCTAGCCATGTGTCCATGCTGTCTGTCTTCTGGCTTCCCCTCCAACCCCAGAGCTGCTTCTTACCTCTCCGCTTCCAGCAGGGATAAAAACAGCAAGCAGCCTAGTGCAGAGAGAATTTGGGAGTGGAAGGGGGACACTCTTGGGGGTGAGCTATCCTCTGGGGAACAAAGGGAGAGAGGGAAAGGAATCCCCTTATCTTCCTGCTTCTCCCCAGATCTATTACCAAAGATCCTCATTCACCTAGTGGGTTGTTAAGAGGGCTTCTGAACCAAAAAAAGAACACTGGCTAGCTTTCCAGGGCCTTACTGTATGCTTTTATCTAGGCCAAGTCATTAACCTCTGAACAGGGTTTCTACCCTTAATCACAATTAAGGTAGGTGGAGAAGAGGCTGGTGAGGTGTATTCTTCCAGGGACCTTGTATGCCAGTTCTCTTTACTCCTCAAAGGACTAAGAGGAAGGGCTAGGAAGGTGGCTCAGTGGTAGAGTGCTTGCCTTGAATGCTTGAGGCCCTGGGTTCGATTCCTCAGCACCACATAAGTAAAAAGAAAAAAGTCGAAAGTGGCGCTGTGGCTCAAGTGGTAGAGCGCTAGCCTTGAGCTGAAGAGCTGAGGGACAGTGCCCAGGCCCAGAGTTCAGGCCCCACGACCTGCCAAAAAAATTAAAAAAAGGATGAAGAGGCCTGGCATAACTAGTTCACACATAGTAGACACCAACCACCTTCTGTTGAATTGAAATCCACGGTTCTCTCAAGGGGTGATAGCTTTGGGGACTCTGGGATTTTGTGAATTTGAGAACAGCTTTTCTTGGGTATCCTCACCTCTGGCCCCATACTGGCTTTAGGCTTGCTGTGTAGCTCAAGCTAGCCTCAGCTTCAAAACCCTTTTGCCAAACCCTCCCTCCCAAGTGTTGCAGTGCTGGCATTACAGGTGTGAACTACTAGATCAGGACTGGGAACAGCTTTCCCCATTTTTATTGCTGTCTGTGTGCACAAACCTGTGGGATATTGGGCTTCCATGATTAATGTAGGCCACCTGCTCCTCACAGCCCAGGTCCATCCCAGTCACATTTTTTTTTTTTTTTTAGTGTTAGTCCTGGGGCTTCGACTCAGGGCCCAGGAACTGTCCCTGAGCCTCTTTGTGCTAAGGCTAGCACTCTACCACTTGAGCCACAGCACCATTTCTGGCTTTTTCTGTGTATGTGGTACTGAGGAATTGAACCCAGGGCTTCATGCATGTTAGGCAAGCACTGTACCACTGAGCCATCTCCCCCCCCCCCCCCCCCCCAGTCACACAGTTCATGTGGAAGTTCTGGTGTGTCTGAGGAGGGGACTGCTGATGGATTGATTTGGTGCTGGAGATGGAGCCCAGGCCTTCGAGCATGCAAACCTCGCTCATCACCACGCTGCACCACCAGCATCCTTTTTTCCTTCTTTAAAGTGGGTGTGATAGAACGTCTTCTCCGGTGGGGGAATGGTGGGCCTATACTACTAAGTAGTAGTTTTGAGTGTCTGCTTTGAGTAAGATGCTGGCCTGAGGGTAGGAGCGAAGAAGATGAGAAGTGGGCCTAGGGCCACTGCTGCCTCCTGTTGGGGACAGGGTGGGACCAATGGCAGCGGCCTTAACTATCACTTGTTGATTAGGGGTTGTCCTGAGTAAACAGGCCCTACCCTGTACCCTGAGAGAACTCCGGATCCAGTGTGCAGTCCACCGCCGGGGGGAGGGGGAGGCAGCGAGTAGGACAGCCTTCCGAAGATCCCAGCAAAGTAGTTCTCCATTTCATACCCTGACCTAGAAGGCCCTGATCTCGAGGGAGAGGCCAGAACTGGGTTAGGACCCCCACAAAGGTTGGGGCCAGGGCTCCTCTGCCTGGGAGAGGGGTGGCATTAAGAGGGACCCCCACCCAACCTCCCTCTAGGAAGCTGAGGGAGTACAGGGGTTGGCAGTGGTGCTGGCTGTGTGATTGGGTAAAACCTGATGATACGATCCCGTCTAGAGTCTCAGCCCCTTTCCTTTCCTCCCCTCATCTCCTCTCCAGGTCCCACTAGAACGACATGATGGTGGAATCCGCCTCAGAGACAATCAGGTCTGCTCCATCTGGTCAGAACGGCGTGGGCGGCCTCTCTGGGCAGACGGATGGCGGGGCTGGGGCAGCGGGCACAGCTGCAGGCAGCACCGGCAGGGATGGCACAGGTAGGGACACCACAAGCAGCGCAGACAGCAATGGAGAGATGAGCCCCGCGGAGCTCCTGCACTTCCAGCAGCAACAGGTAGGAGATGGTGCCCTCCCCACCCTTCCTCTTCTCTCCCCTCCCCTCCCAACCTCTTCCCATCCCTCCCAGCCTCCTATCATTCCCGGCCTCCAGATCCTGAGGTAGTTCAGTCAGTGTTCCTAAGAGAGGAACAGGACTGGGGGTCTGAGTTCATGGAGCTTGGGAGAGCCCCAAAGTACCATAAAGAAAGGCCCATATCTGGCCAGCAGCAGGCTTGAGAGAGAGTACATTAACATGGAGGGGTTGTCCATAGGTTTTATCTTTTGTGCTTTTTTCTTTTTTCTTTTATTTTGGGTGTAATACTGGGGCTTGAACTCAGGGACTGAGCTTTGTTACTTGTTACTCAAGACTAGCAACACTCTACCACTGGAATCATTACCCGCCCCCCCTTCTTGCTTTTTGCTGGTTAGTTGAAGATAAGAATGTTAATTGTAGATAAGACTTTTCTACCCTGACTGGCTTGGAACTATAGCATCTTCAGATCTCAGCCTCCAGAGTAGCTAGGATTTCAGGTGTGAGCCATTAAGCGCCCAAGGATGTCTTTATATGTCTAATAAAATAGTCTCTACCTCCCATACTCCAGTCAGATCCCTAGTCTGAGCCCAAAAGAGATTATAGTTCCTGGCGTGGGGAAGGGGAGGCAAAGGCAGGCCTCTTTTACATTCCCTGGGAAGCTCCTCAGAGTTCTTTCAGCCCTACCTGGAAACACAGGGTTCAGGACTTTAGGACCAGCCTCTGAGAAAAGCACTAGTGCTAGGGTGGGGAGCCTGTTTGGGTGGCAACTGAACAGGGGGCCCCTGGGTCCCAGCTCCACCTGGAATGGGGGTGGGGGGATCGGGCTTGACAAGTTGAAGAGAACCGGCCCAGCCAGCTCGAGCTTTGGTTGGGATTCTTGTCTTTGATTTTCTCCTCTGATCATAGCTTGGTAGCTGGGGGGCTCTTCTGAGAGGGTGGAAAAGCAGGATCTTGTATCCTCTTCCCTCCCAGTGCCCTCATTCCCACTCAGCTGTGTACCCAGTTCCTTCCTTATCCCTTCCAGGCAATTGCGCTCTCTCACTCCACCCCAGATGGCCATGTTATCACACAAGGGCTGTGCTCTCTCGTTGCTGCTCAGTGGGCACTAAGGCAGGAATGAAGAAACCCTAGGCTGAGTTCCTTTCACTCGCCTAACAGCTGTGTGTGACACTTTGATCTGTGGCACCTTTAGCCCTTGCCTAGCTAGATTGGGGACTGAAGTACTGGGTTATTAGGCTTCAATGCTATGAGACCCCTTACTACAGCACTGTGGCTGGAACTCAGAGCCTCATACTCTTTCTTGCTTAGCTTTGACACTCAAGGCTGTTGCTCTACCACTGGAGCTACATACACTTCGTCCAGCTTTTTGGTGGTTAATTGGAGGGAAGAGTCTCATGGACTTCTTTGACCAGCTGGCTTTGAACTGTGATCCTTATTAGATTTTAGCTTCCTGAGAAGTTAGGATTACAGGTCTGAGTCACCAGTGCCCTGGGTGACTTGCCAGAATGTGTATGTGAACAGAATCAAGAACTTTTTCAAAATCACTGGATCTTGTCAACTAGGAGACTAAAGCTGGAGGGCCTGGATCCTTTCCCTGGGGAAGAAGGTCTTTGGGACTTTGTGGGTGAAGAAGTGAGATCCCTGGGGGAAGATACCCACTGAATCTGTGCAGTCTCCGGGGACAGAAATCCTACCTTTATTAAAGAACTATACAAAAGTCCAAATGTGTCAGGGGGAAGGAGGTGAGGAGATAGCAAAACTGGGAAGTTGTTTCTTTTAACAACTGACTTAAAGTGAAGCATGACCACAGCTCTCTGGGTAAGTGAGGAGATGTTTTTGGGGTGGGGAGGGATGGAACTGTCTGTACGCATCGGGTTTCTCAGTTCTGCGTTACACATGAACCATGTCTTCCCATCTGTAGCCCACGTTCCAGTTATTCCTGTTTGTTTTGGGGAATATCCCAAGGTCCTGGAAAATCTTGTATCAGTTTCACAAATAAACTGGGGTGGGGATTTGGAGGCAGGCAAGAGGGCTGTTTTATCCATTTGGGCTCACTGTGGGCATAGCCAAGGAAAATATTTGAGACTTTAAAAAAAAAAAGAGTTTTGTTGGCTTCAAACTATGAAAAAGAACTCTGCAAAATTAAAATTACAAAAATTTCAACCAAACAGTCTATGGGCCATCCCACCCCTCCCTCCCCACCCCCAATATTTGAATAAGGCTTTTAAAGGAGTTTAGGGTAACACTTGTTAGTACCCCAATGATAAGTATACTTATTTGTAGGGTAAGCACCTGTGGAAAAGAGAGCCTGGTCCCTTTTTTATTTCAGCCCCAAGCAAGAAGTCCTTAGAAGGCCTCTTCCACACTCACTACATAGACTCACCATCTCGGTGGGAGCGAGGTGAATATCATTACTCCCAAGTTCAGCCAGGGATAGATAGCAGTTTATGCAGATGGTAGAAAGGCCACAGCTAGACCTGTCTCCAGGTTCCTAGTTCAGGGCTTCACACACAGGGCACAGTTCTCTATGGACCTGACAAGGCTGGTTCTCATATGTAGTAGTAGGTGCTGTATAGATGTGTGTTGATACTGGAAGGGTTTCTTTAAACAGCAAGAAAGCAACCCCATGTTGAGCATCAGTGTCTAAATCCTAATTTCTCAGAATGCTGAGATTTCAGCATTGAGGTTTGAAGCCAATATGGGCAAGAAAAGTCCATAAGAATCTTACTTCTAGTTCCCCCCAAAAAGGCAGAAGTGGAGACATGGAGATAAGGCTTACGTGGTAAAGTGCCAGGCTTGAGCAAAAAGCTAAGGGACAGCTCTCAGACCATGAATTTAAGCCTCAGTACTAGCACACACATGTGTGCACTCACATGTGCGCACACACACGTGTGCATGCACACACACACACAAAAGCAAAAGCAATCCTTTGGACAAGGGGTGTGGCTCATTTAGTAGAGCACTTGCTTAGCAAGTGCAAGGCCTAGAATTCAATTGCTGATACTACAAAAGTAAAATATAAAAGAGCCTTCTCCCTCCTGCCTCTTCCTCTTACAAATAATTATTTTGATTATCATTATTATTTTATTTTTTTGCCAGTCCTGGAGCTTGGACTCAGCACTTGGTCACTCTACCACTTGAGCAACAGTGCCCTTTCCAGCCTTTTCTGTTTATGTAGTACTAAGGAATCGAACCCAGGGCTTCATGCATGTTAGGCAAGTACTTTACCACTAAGCCACATTCTCAGCCCAAATAATTATTAAAAAAAAAAATGGGTGCCGGGCGCTGGTGGCTCACACCTGTAATCCTAGCTACTCAGGAGGTTGAGATCTGAGGATCGCGGTTCAAAGCCAGCCCGGGCAGGAGAGACCGTGAGACTCCTATCTCCAATAAAACCACCAGAAAACCGGAAGTGGCGCTGTAGCTCAAGTGGTAGAGTGCTCGCCTTGAGCTGAAGAGCTGAGGGACAGCGCCCAAGCCCAGAGTTCAAGCCCCATGACCGACCAAAAAAAAAAAAAATGGGTACCAGTGGCTGTTGCCTATAATCCTAGCTGCTACTCAGGAGGCTGAGATCTGAGGATCGTGGTTCAAAGCCAGCCTGGGCAGGAAAGTCTATGGGACTCTTTATCTCCAGTTTACCATGAAACAGCCAGAAGTAGAGCTGTGGCTTGACATGGTAGAGCACTAGCCTTGAGTGAAATGCTCAGGGACAGCACTTAGGCCCTGAGTTCAAGTCCCATGACTGACAAAAAACACCCAAAAGGGCTGGGAAGGTGGCTCAGTGGTAGAGCGCTTGCCTTGCATGCATGAGGCCCTGGGTTTGATTCCTCAGCACCACATAAGCAAAAAAGAAAAAAGCCGGACGTGGCGCTGTGGCTCAAGTGGTAGAGCGCTAGCCTTGAGCTGAAGAACTGAGGGACAGCGCCCAGGCCCAGAGTTCAGACCCCACGACCGAACCCAAAAAACAAAACAAAACAAAAATACACCCAAAAAACTTTAAAGCCAGGTGTCATGTCAGAGTATCCATTCTTATAGGGTGATGTAAAGTTGGAAGCCATGGACCCAGCACTATGTTTCCTTTCTTTCTCGGACCCTCCTGGGGTCTCCAAGCCCCTCTCCCTTCATTTCTGTTGGTCTGTTCCAGGTAAACAAGCCCTGGAAAAAGCAGTCCTGGCCTTCAGGAGTAATGAGTTGACCAAGAAGAGACAAAGACAGGGCAAGTCAAAAGTCAGCCCAGTAGGCGGGTGACCCGACTTTAGGCTGAGACAAGCAGGGCCAGCAGCCTTTCCATGCAACGGCAGGCTGACCCAGCTCAGCGGCCAGGCCAGGTCTAGCTAGACAGAGGGTCCTTGGCTGGCTGCTGTTAGTTCAGCGTTCCCAGCACCCTTACTGATAAATGACAGAGCCACTGGAGTACTGAGCTCCAGTCTGTCCTTGAGGCTTTCTGATACTTGGGGAGACCCTGCCATGAGCTGAGGTGTTGCGGGGAGGGGCTGTGGCCCTCAGAGGACTCAGTCACTCAGCAGGTAGCCATTGATTCGTACCTGTCCTAGCACTGAGTGGGCCAGTTGGACTTGAAGTCCTCTGCAGCTGTCCCAGTAGCGCTTGGATGCATGGATCCCCTCTCTCTCCAAGACAAGTAGCTCCTACCCTGCTGGACCCTCTCCTGCCTTTTACCCCACATGAGGGATGTTTTCTCTGAAAGTGGCTTTTACATTTTTGGTGTGTGTTACACGGTGCTGGGGCTTACACTCAGGGTCCTGACCTCTGTCCCTTAGCTTTTTCAAAAGCTCAGGGCTAGCTTGCTACCACTTGAGCCACGGACAGCTCCACTTAGGGTTTTTTGGTGGTTAATTGGAAATAAGAGTCTCACAGACTTTCCTGCCTGGGCTGGCTTCAAACTGATTGTCAGCTTGGAGCCTTTTGAGTAACCAAGAATATAATCTTGAATGCACCAATACACAGCTTTTGGTTTTACCTTT